GGATGAAGTGGCGTATGGAATCTACGAGTGGTTTAGTTCCCAGTAAAACACTCTTCTCCATATAATAAAACCACACAAAACCGTGAGGGAGCATTTTAATAACACATCAGATCAGTACAAAAGAAGGTATGGCTGGACAAATATTAAAGAAGATTAAAAGGGATTGTGGTTTTGGCTTTTGAAAAACTGTTAGGCAGAACAGTTTTCAACGTTAAGCTCGTTTGTTTGTCGCCCTTATAATGCCCGGGAGATATATTTGTTTGTATTGAAGCTGTGGTTTTCTCATTTGCGGACGGTTCATTAGAAAAGCGATGGAGAAGGGGGGGAGGAGGTGGGAAAAATACAAAAAAAATTCATGCAAGGGAAGGTGACTGAAAAAAAAAATCGAGCAAAGAAGAAGTGAAGAATTAAAAAATTCCTGCAGACTTAATTCCACTGTCGGGTTGAGAAACTGTACCCGTCTGAAGGGCACCTTGCCAGCCACTTTATACTGCAGTTTTTGGGTCCTGGTGGAATCCCCATTCACCAGATTTTCTCTACAATTAGAAAAACGGACATTTTTCCTTTTCCAGGCTGATACATTTTGGCGCAAACAACCTCATTATGGACACTGACTAGACATAGCTTAACAGGGATAGAACGATGTGCTATAAACAGCGATCCTGCTTGATTCATGTTTTGAAAGCCTCAACATATAAAAAGGATTTCACAACTGAAGTGTACACAGATATGCACATACATGTCGAGTGGTAACACTTCTGCTAAGATCAAGATCAAACGTTGGAATCAAAGGCATTCATGGAGGTGTTAACACAACTTATGTGCTTAGCGTGTGCAGTTTCAAACTATTTTAGGTTTTTGGCAAAGTAAACGACGCATCATTCAAGTCCGATCGATAAATTTATCCTCTGAAAATCGTGGAAAACGCACCAAAGACGCTTCAATTTTGCAAAATTTTCAGGGGGGGAGGAGTATGCCTCCAGACCCACCTAGCGCAATGAGGCCTTTGGCCCCATATTTGTTAGTGGACGGCCACTCAATAAAATTTATATTTCCCTAAACATCAAACTGCAATACAAGGCCATTTTAGACAATAGAACTACAGCACATATAAGCCATTTTCATCTTGGATATATCTCATACTTGTTCATGTTTCCCCCGGAGTATAATGTTGACAGTATAGCAGAAAGACTGAGTGAAACATAATGTAATTTGTGATAATCCGGTATTGACATAAATTAATATTTTGCCGACACGGAACGGAGAACTGGGTGGGAGAGCAGTACGCGAAGGCTCATGGGTAGTACGTTTGTAAAAAGAGACAGTTGAGAAACTTGTGACATTCTACGGTCAGCCTTGCCACTAGAACTTTCCCATAAGGTTTATTTTTATTGTGTTATTAGCGTCATATGATTTGTTTTTTCATTCTGTTGTTTATAGATCAACCTTAAAATCCCAAAGGTGGCACCACTGCATTTGGTCGGGGGTACACGGTCCCTATTTTTCCTAACAAGAGGTTTTAGGGGTTTACATGTCCGGCGTTGGCGCATGTAGGACGTCACTTGATGTACCTCTTATCCGCTTTAAATAAAACATACCTTGGGCCTGGCTGACCAACCCGCTCATGCCTCAACCTTTGAGTGTGTTCGGTTGTGTAGTGAAGGCAAAATATATGTCTCTGTTTGAAGCCTGTTCCAGGCATTCAGATAGTGGAGAGTGTCAAAATTAGAGAGGCAGTGGGCATGAAAAAAAATTCTCGCAAGCTGAAAAAGTCCCACCCCCCCCCTCCCCCCGCCCCCACCACATCACTTTTCTAATGGTGTCACAGTGCTGTAACATCATGTTTCACGGCGAGTAGGTGCTCTAACGTAACATGGTATGCCTGTGTCTTGTCATAAGAAGAGTAGGGTGTAGCTGTGGTGCATTGTGGTGTGTTTCCAACATGGCGGGCTCCTTGAGCTCTTCAATGGAAGGCACGGGATTTAGCGACAGTGACATGAGTGCAGACGAAAGCACCTCATCTGTTGCTCACAGAGAAAAAAATTTAATGTCCCTTTTGAAGCAGGAGAATAGAGTATTAAAAATGGAACTGGAAACATGTAAATTACGCTGTAAACAACTGCAGGAAGAAAACAGAGCTCTTCGCCAGGCGAGCGTCTCTATTGTAAGTTGAGTTCTCTTGTCATTTTCAGAATTAATGGCTAAATGCAGTACGAGAACTGGAGTTCATGGCACTGACAACTCTATCTCGTCATGTCATCAGAAACGTGGTAGTTTCAATATTTTCAGAAATAAGGACTAGCATGTCTGGTCGTTTAATTTTGTATTATTGACTTCATGTAAACAACGTTTACTGACAAAACCGGAAAACATTGCAAGTCGTGATAGATAAAGTTCGTTGTTCATGCCATAGACTGCACATAAGGAAAGCTCATATAAAATCACGAGTCGTTTGCTGGGGGAATGAACTAGAAGCTTTTCGAGTGCTCTCCCAACGTGCCAAGTGGTTTTGTTGCGCCCATCAAGCCGTAGAAAGTGTGGTGTATTACTTTCACGAAATAACAGTGGAACACTTTGGCCATAGAGAGACATTTTAATTTTGTGGTCAATTTCCTCATTCTCAACACATTCATGACACAGTAAACCAATAATATCAGGTACAACTCTCATAAAAAAGGAAAGACAAGGGCAGAAAACAGCTTATATTCAAATCTGATTTAAAAATACTTTGACAGGAAATCCAGGACATATAGCTCGCTTAAGGTTATTCCATTGAATTGTGTTGCACGTTCTTTCAGCATACATTTTGGATATAAATATTCTCAGGTTGCAAGTGTTGGAGATGTCCTTCAAGCTAAGCTTGACTGGGAAATAGTAAATGGTTGCTTTCTCCTAAATGACCATAGAAACCCCATTTTTTTAATGCATAAATTTAAATGACATGTTTTTGAGATATTTTTTTTGAATGTGGTAGAGAACATATATTTGGGAAATACTGGGTATGCATGCAGGCAGCAAACTCTTAAATTTGTTTGATAATCTGATTTTTTTTCGAATTATAATAGTTAATAATGTAAGATCAAAGTCTAATTTGTTGATCTTCCCCAATATTTTTGATGCAAGAATGACTTTTTTCAGAAAATAATTGTTCCCATTTCTGACTGCTAAAGTTCCCAATGAAAAACCTGAGGGTCATATACATGTAGCTACCATAACAGCTATCAATAATAATCAAAAATGTTCTTGGTGACCTTTGTTTTTTGTTACAAAGTTTTGTTACAATCAATTGGACTAAGTTTCAGATCATTATAAATGTTCCTTTTTCAATGGAATGTAATAAATATGTTACTTTGTTAGAAATTTTTGCCCTGATTTCTTTTAGTAGTCTTAAGGTATCAGTATAACCCATTTGACCATCTGTGCGTGGTCCCCTCTCGCATTCGTGGTTTTAACAAAAACCCATATAAACAGTATATTTATCGGAAGCTTAATAACTACAGATTATGACCTTGTTTAAAACGGTAAAAATTTACCCTGTTTCGAAAATGTGAATATGTTTACAAAGCTTCACAAACCCATAAATCAAGGTATACACCCGCTAAATTTAGGTCGAGAAAAAGGATTAGCATGGCGTTCGTTTCTTCACACATTGACCTCAAAAACCGTGTCTCAGATTTTTGGCACATGTGTTTGTTATTATTTTACAAGAGGATAAAGTTAAAAAAGGGAAAAAAATAGGACTGCCCGCGAAAAAAAGGCATAACTTTTTAATGAAAAGAATAATCAGAATTTGCAGACACACTTTTGTCAGTGATCGTTCTGACAGTGTTCTCTCAGAATTTCAGCCAATTTG